ACAAACCTGATTGGCATGGAAGCGTCATCAGAAGGAAACCTTACCTCATTACAAAAGTGAGCATCTGATTTATGCAAAACAATATCTAAGCCAGAGGCATTTTGGTAACAAGTGCTGTGTACTGTTGAAGTAAAAATGGAACTTGTTTGCCACAAATGACCATAGGTATGTTAGGAGGAAAAAAGGAGTAGCTTTTGATTAAAGCATAATGCCAGCTATTAACTATTATTACTACAAAGCTCTATTATGCTTTAGGGTTGTGTAGCAGTCAGAGGCACAGGAAACCTTGTACACGTAGATGGTAGAATGGATTCCAGTAAATATCTGAAAGCAAATATGTCAGTCAAAAAAACCAAAAAACCCAAAGCTGAAAAGAGACTTCTACAACAGGACAATAATCCAAAACACACCCCAAAATCCCCCGTGAACTAAATCAAGAAACACAAGCTAAAGTTTTGGAACGCCGCTCACAATCCCCTCATTGAATATACTGTAGGTAAATATTAAATATGGTGTACATGTGCAACAGCCTAAGAATATCTCATCACTGGTAACTGTGCATTAATTTTTGCTATTTTAAAATAGTTTGCTGCAGAGGTTTACTTCTTTTCACTTCAAAATCAACCAAATATATAATTTTGCCGGGGTGAAATATTGGTCAATGTTCACATAAAATTATTTATTAGATTTCCATGTAAACAGGGTTTAATCTAGTGACATTTATATCACTATATAAAAAATATAAAACCTAAATATACAAATTAAAATTAAATGTGGCTATATTTTAGGACTTCTGTCAGAGAAAAAACTCAATGCAGACTTATTGTGTCGTGTTGTTGCAATAAGAAACAGCCTCAGGGCACTGTGGGATACAGTATTGCATGCAAGGGGAAAAGGAGAATTAGTGGACAATAAAGAGATGGCGTTTAACACAGTTGCACGTTTCTCTGACGAATACTTTATTTCTTTTTAAAGTGTAGTATACCACAATTTTATCAAACTAAAAGAAATACCAGTAGAATGGTAACCAAAATAATATGTTGAAAATCTAAATATTAAATAAAATAAAAAATATGGTGGGCAACATACCTGGAGATGGCTCTTGAGATTTGGAGCATTTAACACTTATTTTTTCCCCACAAAGTCGACATATGGCTTCATCCAAATTTATTGGTTCACCTCTATCAATAAGCACAAATCCAAAATGTTCACACATCGCCAATGTAACATTTGGTTTCCCAACAAGATCCATTGCAGCGGCAGAACCCGAAGTGAAATTGCAGAATTCGCCTGACTGGATTTTGCCACGCTCAAATGAACCCGCGCAAAACTAACAGACAACACCATATAAAGTGTTTGATTATGATTACATAATTTGTGTATTTAACAAAAAAAATACTGCTATGTGGTAGGCTATAAATACAAATTAATATTGCAACTGTTATTATTACATTATTATACAAAACATGACCTGTGCTGTGACACTACCACAGGTGGCCACCGTCACAGTCCTATCAGTTATATAGTTTTATATATTTCCTCTTTTCTAAATCTGCTTTTGGTAAAAGCATATGCTGCATGAATAAATGTGTATGCAATTAACTACACCATTAAACCAAGGCAACCCAACATATAGCAATGATCTTTTTCAAAGACAAAAAAAAGTAGCATCAGAACACACAGATATAGTGGGATTTTACACCTTCTCTTTATAAGGAAATATTTCCTTCTGTATATCTGATTTTAAACAGTACTAAAACATTCCTGCAACCATAATATGAATATTTTTATTCATATCTCCAATGTGCATTTTACACATGCATGTGCAGTGCATACTATAGAAGTAACAGATACAAATGGGTACATACTATACACTCTGCACCCTTGATATACCACCCATGTCTATCTCCCTCCCCATCTTGCATATTTCTCTCTCTCTCTCTCTCTCTCTCTCTCTCTCTCTCTCACACACACACACACACACACACACACACACACACACAGCATGTATGAATTTCTTATACAGCTTGTAATAGCTTGGGTCATTTTGGTGGTCTCAAGGACTGAGTGTTTAGTAACAAGGTAGTAATCAGCTCCGATTTCAACTGCTTTCTGTGTCAGTTTTCATCACTGGCTCTCTTGGGGGGGGGTCCATTTCTACCTCTGTAATTAGCATTTGATGTTTACATACTGCACAGTGTATGCAATTGGTCGGACTCATTAAAACACCACAATGGCTTGAAACTAAATAAAATGTCTCACTCAAAGAGGAACTCTGAGAAAGAAATGATCCAGTTGGCCACCAAAATACGAAAGTTATTAAAGCAGTAACTCAAAACCTGCAGGCGACTTTGGTGTTAAACAGAGCTCCTCAGTGGGAATGATTTCAAAGAGGGTGATAGCAAATCACTGTCCCACAGTTATTACACTGCAGATAATAGCAAGAGCAGTTTTCTAATGTACAGCATATTCTGGATGTAAGTTCTGACAGAAGTAAGAGGCCTGCAGCACTTTTGGCCTGGAGATGAATGAAGAAATAAAACAGAAATTAAGAAGAAGAAATGCTAGAACATCTTTATGTGCAAAGGTGATCTTTTGCTTTCTGTGCCATAAAGAAAGCAAAGTCCATGAATCTCACCTCGTGAAATTTACAAGAACTTACACATCCTGCAGCACTTATAGCGTGTCTCTCTCTCTTTTTTTTTCTCCCATGTTAAGGTATCTTGTGTTTTTTCATCAGAACGGTTCAGCAACTCCATGGACAGTGTCGCTACGTGACAGAGATATACTGCGCTATGTCTCCAAAGAACCTGCGGCATTGCTCTGAGACAGATAGATCTAAAATACAATGCATACTGCTCTTATTAGATGTACCTCTGCTGAAAGGAGTTTGAAAAATTAATTTCATGCCTGATTTAAAACATCCCAACGCTTGAGTGAACTCTCTGCCTGGTATTATAAACATCCACGGCTTAATCTTGCCCAGAACTGGCTCCGAATCACAATTTCTAAGTAGACAAAAAGTCCTGGGTCTGGTGGAGAGGATTTTGAAAGCTGAATCTGTTGAGCGTTCCTCTCTTTCACTGATTTGTCAGCTCACGCCAGAGGCGTCATACTCATCCTCCGGGTGCCAAAGGCTAAACGTGACCTGTTTTAAAGCTCTAAACCATGGCAGTGCACCAGCCCTGGAAAATATTGTTTTATTATTATTATTATTATTATTATTATTATTATTATTATTACTACTACTACTAATAATAATAATATATGCTGGAGTCACAGTAACTGAGCAACAGTGTAGGTATTCAGAATGCAGCTGAAGTACAATAAGAAATGAGACAGTGATGACAAGAGATAGTGCTCCAGAAATATTGACGCTCTGAAGGAAGTCGACATTGCAAGCAATACTGGAGAAAAAGTGATACAAAGGCTCTGTGGCTTATACAATTTTAACTTATTCCCTTCACCCTGCTACATTTCTGACACTACAGGCACTTTAGTTTAAAAGAAATAATATATTTATTTGTATGCTGTGTAACAAATCTCATTCCCAGGTCATTTTAGATGCAGTGAAGCAGTTCAAAAATAAACTGAACCTATACTATACATCATCCTGTGCTTACCGGTGTGTCAATCAATATGAATGGCATCATTCCCATTAGACTTCATATGTCATCCCTGGCATTTTAATGATTTCTCATTGACCTGCCTTTTTTGTATTTTTATATAAATCCTGCTTATAATATGAATTTACTATTTGTCACAAAAGCTAAAGTCTAATGCAAGGTTGTGCACATAGGATGAAATAAGTAAACAATTGCTGCACCAACAGATTAAGGCAGCAGCTTCAATTTGGCACTCAGCACACTATTCCTGACTTGCTTTATACCACAACAATGTTTAATGCTTGTTTCTGATTGGTCAGAGGGTGTTGATTCATTTTCTATAACAGCATGGCTTGGACAGTAGTTCCAACTATTAGGTTTATATCAATGTGTTCATCCTGCTGGACAAAAAAAAAAACTCAATAGAAACCATCACAGAAATTCTAATGGTTTCCACTACAAATAGCATTACAAACCATCATCTAACCATTACTGGTCCTTAATGGTATCCACTAGACATAGCATGCCACCAATAGAAGGCAACAAATTACCAGTAGAGACCCACAGGAACCATTACAGTTTCCACTAAAACCTATACAATTCCCATTATAAGCATTACAAATTCTATGTGGGTTTCTATTGTTTTTTTTTTTAGTAGCGCATTCATATGTTATCTATACTAGCAATTTATACAAAGACTTGTATGACTTGCATCTACATAAACAAGGTGTAATCATTGATATGGTGAAGCTTCCTGTGGGATGTTTATTTAGCATTTATGGAAGGAGTCTCAAGTGTTAGTGTTTTATTATTGGTAAAGCTCTTCCATTAAAGTTTTGACACTTGTCTTCAGGTTGAAGAACATTTTCTGTAACATGACAAGCTGCAGTTTCTTTTGCCTTGTTAACTTCAAGAGGGAAAAACAGAGACTGGTGAGAAAATGACTGTTAGTATAACTGCAGTAGCTTGTTTTGTGGATGTTCCACAACATTCATCCATCCATCTTCAACCGCTTATTTCTGCTTCAGGGTCGTGGGAACCTGGAACCTATCCCAGGGCACAAGGCAGGGTACACCCTGGACAGGGTGCCAGTCCATCGCAGGGCACAATCACATACACACTCACTCATACACTACGGACAATTTACCAAGCTGCCAATCAACTGACCATGCATGTCTTTGGACTGGGGGAGGAAACCGAGTACCCAGAGGAAACCCCCGCAGCACAGGAAGAACATGCAAACTCCGCGCACACATGGCCCCGGCGGGAATCGAACCCCAGACCTGTGAGGCGAACGTGCTAACCACTAAGCCACCGTGCACTCCACAACATTCAACATAACTAGAAATGGTACAAAAATGTGTGATTCTTTGTACAATAAAAATTAGACCCATTGGCACAGTGTCTTAGTGGTTAGCACACTTGCCTTGAATCTCTGAGGTTGGGGGTTCAAATCCCGCCTCCGCCCTGAGAGCATGGGATTCACATGCTATCTCTGTGCTTTGAGGGCTTCCTCCAGGTAGTATGGTTTCCTCCATACACCATACCTCTATAATGCAAAGACATGCAATATAGACTAATTGGCATTCATATATTGTCTGTATTGTTTGAATGTGTGTGTGATTGTCCCCTTTAATGGGATGGCTCACCGTTCAGGTTGTTTCCCTCCCTGTTCGCCAAGCTACGTGGGATAGGCTCCCCTGTAACCCTGTGCAGGATAAGCAGTACAGAAGATGGATGGATGGTAGATTGCTGTGGTATGTGAGAAATAAAACCCTTCAGGATGTGTTGTAACTTAAAATAATGTGGTAACATTTGACTATTCTGACCTTCATAATTCCTTATGTAAATTAATAAAAATACAATTCATGGAAATACACTAAATCAAATTTATGTTCACTGGCTTCTAATTGTACACATCAAATGGGAGCACAAAGTTTGATTGGACATAAGAAAACCACACTTTAATTTAATGCACAAGTTCGTCATACTTATAATATATTTTAAAGAAAAGTTCAGGCAAAGTTCTCGCCTGCAAGACATCATTATTTCTATGCAGCAGCTTGCAGGATCACAAACCCAACACTGCTAAGACTGATGATCTGAAATCCAGAATGCCTTATCTGCCGGTGGGCTCTTAGAAAATTCATCGACATCAGTAGTGAGATAGGGATCTTCCATTCTTTCACTCTCTCTCTCTCTCTCATGGTTTAGATTCATCTGTTTAATTCTTTCACCTCCCACTGCTGTGGTGAGCTAAGTGGTTGCTATATCCCAGGCAAAAATTTAATTATCTTCATTTAGAGATTATTAGCCTTTAATATGTGATTTTTCATTACAAATTAAAAGACTCTTTTAGAAAAGCAGCCAACATGCCTGGAACGGTGCGATATCTGCTTTGTGTCTTTATGCATCTGGTTAGTGAAATTATTATATCACATATACACAGAAGGTTGCAAAGGCTGCAACAACTGGGAGCGTTTGCAGAAAATCAAAGTGTTTACTAATTCATCTGTTTAATACTCAATTTATGAGTTTTTTTCTGCCAGTGTAAAGCCTTGTCAAGGTCCGATAAAACTTTAAGTGTATGTGTCAAAACAAGATTTACACTTGTTTTGCAAAACCCAATAGGATCACAAACTGTTCATTTGCAAAATGCTGTTGTTGATGATAAATGAAGGGGACAGCTACTAGTTAGCGCAATGCAAAAAAAGTGCTTAATGCTAAGTGGTGGTGACTGGCTTCCAATTATTGTTGCACTTGTTAAGATGTGTAGTCAAGCGATTCCTTTAAAGTCAAGAGTAAGGCAACTGTCAGACACATTTGCTTTTTAAATGCACTTAGCATGCATGTAAAATCCAAACAACCATAAATATTAATTTAAATTCAACTGAAAAGTGCAGGTGAGTATTGAGAACAAATATTACAAGTAAACACATTCACAGAACACAATGAGAGAAGCAATTATTACAATATGAAAGAGATAAGCGACACACCTTAACAGAGAGGTACGGGGAAAAAAAAGAGTGGGCGAGAGTCGGTGCTGTTACTCGTGCAGTGTAATTGAATCAATATGCTTCCATAGAAACTGCTTTTCAACATCTGAGCATTTCTTTAGTGTGAATGGTGAGGCGTGAATTTGACTTTCAGCTGTGTGATTAAAGCAGCGTGATGGAGCACTGATGCTTGCTGAAGATGTATTGTATGTAGTCTGTGGATTAGAGCAGACGGTCAGTTGCAAAAATGAGAAGGAATCTTCTTAATGAAGCCTAGACATAGTTTCTGCAACAATATTAACATGTGAATACTGTTGAGTAATGTCAATGTATGTTTATAATCTGCGTTTCTGATTGAACTATTATGTAAATTATTTTTTATACAGTATAATGCAATTTTGAATTGGAAGGGGGTGCACGGTGGCTTAGTGGTTAGCACATTCGCGTCTCCAGGGTTCGCGTCCCGCCTGGCCCATGTGTATGAGGAGTTTGCATTTTCTCCCCATGCTGCGGGGTTTTCCTCTGGGTACTCCAGTTTCCTCCCCAAGTCCAAAGACATGCATGGTAGGCTGATTGGTGTGTCTAAAGTGTGTGAGTGTGTATGTGATTGTGCCTGCGATGGACTGGCACCCTGTCCAGGGTGTACCCTGCCTTGTGCCCAATGCTCCCTGGGATAGGCTCCAGGTTTTCTGTGACCCTGAAAAGGAGTAAACGGTAGAAGATGGATGGATGGACGGTTGTTTAGGAACTCCGGGGTTGGAGGTTTGAATCCGGCCTCTGCCCTTTGTGTGCAGAGTTTTTATTTTCTTCCTGTGCTTCAAGGGCTTCCTCTGGGTACTCTGATTTCCTCCCCCAGTCAAAAGACATGCATTGTATGCTCATTGGCATTGGCATGTGATTGTGTCTGTGATGGGTTGGCACCCCAAGCCAGAGTGTCCCCTGCCTTGTGCTCTGAGTTCCTTGGTATAGGCTACCCACAAGTGTGGATAAGCAACATGAAAAATGGATGGATGGATGAAACATCAATCATACATGAGCAAACAAGAATAATCGCAATCACAATATTACAAAAAACAGCAATGAGTTGTGTGGGGCTGAAAAACCCCCATCTCTTATTGGTGTGCTGAGCCAAATAATTTGACTCACTGATAAGTCAGAATTCTAATCTAGTTAAGCTTTAGGACCATGTCAAATTTTACATCCACAATCACCTTTTGCAAAATGGCATTTGAGAGCACTTATATCTACTAAAATATCATTATATTTTATTGTTAAAGAGAGAATCATCACTTATGTTAAATGACTACACCATGAAATTATTTAATCAGAAAGAACATATCAAGCAGAATAAGCATCTTCAGCCTCACTGAAAAAGCCAAGTGTGTGCGTATTACTGAGAAATTTACTCGGTTATCAGGTCCTGATGGTTGTCCTGAGGGCAGCCCAACCTGTTACGATAGAACTAAATGAGAAGTGCTACTACAGTTCTGCTTAAGTGCCACAATGTGCCAAGTGAGGCCACTGGCAAGCGACGCTCTCCTTCTTAATACACTCTATAATCCAGCCAGTCACATCCAAGTACACACGCTTCAGGGCAAGTAGGTGCAGAAGCCGCTAAATAATGTAATTTTCCCAAATGGGCAGATTTAGGTGTGTCCTAAGCCACTATTTGTAGTGTTCTGTAATTTCTGTTTTTGTCTGTCTGGATTGTAAATTTTGTATATTAATGCTAACAGACATACCAAGTAGTGTAAATAAAAACACAAAAGGATAGTTAGTGTGTTGGCCACTGTGTGCTGTGCATGTGATACAGGGAAGAAAATATACTGACATTTATAATGATACAATGGGACAATTAAGAAACACAAATCCCATATTTAGAAAATGTGCTTTAAGAATATTATTTGACACAAAGCAATGCAAAGAGCAAATGTGGAAAATTGGATGCAAAAGACTACATTTACCTTAGTGTGTTTCCCTTGTACACAAACACACACATACATACAACATGGCATACACACAAATGGAAAACATCATTCCTCATTCAAAACCCCAATTTAGCAGAAGTCATTATAGAGGTCAACTATTAATAGCCAAGCCTGGAACTTTAAGGAAATAAAATGAAACCAGAAGAGGAAAAAACTGACATTTATGCATTTGAATGAGCTGACCTGCCATGGCAGTGCGTCTGGACTTTTAAATGAACATAATTAGTATTCAGTTATGTACCTACATCTTCAGTCTGCTCTTGTCAGAACATGAGGTAGTGTCTGTAGTTATTAACACACTCCCCATACTAAGAGGGTAAAAAACTGTGTTAAAATGTCAACAAGTTTTGACCTCATTTTGATGTGTAGTTGTGATGAAACATCAGATTTAACATCTAATCATATGGAGTGGTGACGGTTAGCATAAATTAATCTATCAATTCTAAATGCTGGGCTCAGAGCATTACACTCCTCTGCAGTCACTGGTAAGCATCAATCACAGCTTTGTCTATGTGTGTGTAAAAGCAGCACTATTTGTAGCACAATAATAAGAAATGCTAACTTCCATGGCAGTGCGTTTAAGATAATGAAATACAGCCCACCCTAAAAGCAATTCGACTTATTATCCAGTTCTTCCATGCCAGTTGTATTCCATTTCAGAAAGAAAACCATAATTTGCCTAAACCTAAAACTCTGCAGACAATACCCACATCTCCCCAGCACCTTTGGTAATTTCCTGCATTAAAAAAAAATTATTGCATAGTAAATTTCAATGTTTATTTGCCCTCAATAATAGGTGGTACTCTCAGACAGTGTAATTGGTCAGAAGGGGGTGTGCTTTCAGTATCAGGTTCAAACAGCATTTATTAAGCAAACACACAAGTAATTATTCATTATCACACAGACAGATGGGGATCTGCTTATGAATTCCAAACATACAGATTAGACATTTAAATCTCCTGCTCTGTGTTGCCACATCTCCTCAACGTAATTGGCCTGGAGTAGTCCAACAGGAATTGCAGAGGAGTTTCAAAGAGTGCTTTGTCTCCGCTGGCCGTGCTTCATGGTTTGCATGAATAAGTATTGCTCTGCAAGCACACTCAAGATGAAGAGTGCAAGATGGAAAAGACAATACAATTCACCAAGGGGAAAGTCTCCTCGCCCGCTTAATCAACCTATCTAGTCTCTGAAAACGGAAATGCATGATTGTGATGCTGTTATTGAATATTGTAGAGGACATGCTATTGCACATTTAATAACAGAGCAAAACAAATCTCCAGTTCAGGATATTACTATAGGAATATAAATTATATGTACACACCCATGCCTGGAAAATCTGTTCAAACATGCTGTTTACAGCCATGTTAATGCTTTTAGCAAATAGTTGCTCATAACTTTAGTAAATTATTTATAGCAGGCATTCTTTTTAATGTTTATGAGTCTACTAAGTTATGTACTATGACTTTGGATCAAGATTCCCTAGC